CTTTGAAAAAATCCATCAACTAATGGAAATGGATCATTTATTAATAAAAATACATAATACTTTAGGATGATAGGAAGCAGCTTGGTGCCATGGAAAGAGAGCAGTGTCCTGATAGTTAGAAGATTGGATCCAAGTTCTAACCTTGGGAAAACATCTTCATCTCTGTGGGCCCAGTGTTCTGACTTGCTAGCAGGGGAGTTAATTAGATAACATCCAACTTTAAAGTTGTCCCTGACCATTGTATTAGAAAATGATGTTTAAGCTCTGTACCTATAACTAACATTTGCATTCACAGTTATTAATAATCTTGTGAGATCCAGGTTTAGTCATCTCTAGGTTATTGCTGGTGCATCTCCCCAGGTCTCTTTGTTCCACAGCTGATGCTAGGGGCCAGCATCAAAGCTCATGACAGAAAATTGAAAGAAGTGCTATAGTCTATCATTGTGTACTCACTGCCCACCAACTGCTTTTATACATTACTTTTTTTTTTTTTTTTTTTAATAACTTTTGCTAATACATCCTCCAGTAAGAAACATCTAACAAGAAATGTTTGGAGCTACAAACTCAAAAACATTCATATAATTTACTTGTGCAAATTTTCAGTCCTTGAGAAAATGCCTTAGATTTGGGAGGCACTGATAATAAGCTTGAATGATTTGATTAAAATCCCCCACATATTATTTTTACTCATTGTCAGAATAGTGACTGTTTATGTATTTGCTTGAACAATTTCTCTTAGAAAGATCAGCACAAGGCTGGCCCCCATGAGGTGGAGGTTAACAATGTCCCAAATGTCCAAACTACCATGCCATCCATCATTTCAGACATTAACTCCTCCTCCTCCTCCTCCTCCTCCCAGTAATCTCCCCCATCTTAAGGTTCTGTATTTCACTGTAATGTCTCACAGAACTCACAGACACCCAAGGGATCATTTCATGTAGTAGTGGTGGAGGCTGGCAGGCTGGCAAGTCCCAGGTCTGTGAGTGGGTCTCGAGGATCCTCCCAATTCTTGGGATTTGATGAACCTCGATCAGCAGATCAGATGACAGCTGCTGTCCCAAATCCAGGGGTGAGATGAGGATGAGCCAAAACACAGAACCAGAGCAAGAAGAGGGTGAACCTTCCAGGACATTCATAGGTATACCCTCAAGGAAGCTAAGGGTGGTGATTTGAGTTATACCCTCCAGCAAGGCGGGACTCAAGATACATTCCACCTGTGTTGCTCCAACAGCAATAACCCAAGTGGATGGCTTTAACTATCAGCAGCTACTTGGTTACTCAAGGCAAATCCCACCACAGAGCCAATTGTCAGTCATTATAGGGAACAACTACTACCAGCTGCCCAGCCAAGCTGATGTCCAACCTTAATTAACTACCACACCACCCCAAACAGGCACAGATAATAGGATTTACAATGCATCACAAAACAGAGGACAATGGCTAGAAGGGCCACATCAAGCAATTCACTGCAGTGTTAAAGTCATTTTATTTGTATGTAAGATAACATCAGATACTACCCATGTTAGTGTCTTAGCCCTCCGCTGAATAATATCTTACACCCTGAAATGTTTCAATGGTCAGACAGAATGTTTTTTCCATGGAACAGCTTCCTGGACATGTTCTGGTCACTGCTTCTTTCCTTTGAAGTGCCTTCCTCTCAGCCCTTGATGACTGACAATGGTGGGAGCCAATTACACTTATCCTTTCTGATTTGGATAGTGAGGGAAGGTGGATTCTATTTTCTATATAAAGATATTATAAAGAAGATAATGTTTGATCTGCTCCTTTTGAGACAGAATAGGAGAGGGTCTTCAATACAAACAACTCACTGAACTAAATGTATTTAATGTCTCCTTTGTAAGATATAAATGTTAGTGGAAACCCGAGTTTCTGTGCTCAAAGAAATTGGGTAAAATGAGGCATGAATTCAAATAATTACAAGTTCTATATTTTCAGTATCTTAAAAATCAGGGGATGCTCCACATATTGAGAAATCTCTAGTATCTGAGGTAGGAGAGAGGAAGGAAAGATCTTTAAGTGTCTAAATGGTGTTAATATGATGTTTGAGAATGTATCCAACTCATATATAATGAAATTTGAAAAAAATTAATGATAATAATGTGTAGAAAATGCTATTGGGTTTGAAGTTTCCATAATTATGAAAGAAAGAGAGAGAGAAAGAAGAAGGAAAATCTGGTAAGAAATACATAAATCAAAAACCAAATCCACTGCCATTGAGTCAATTTCAACTCCTAGCCACCCTATAGGACAGAGTGTAACTGCCTCATAGAGTTTTCGGGCTGTAAATCTTTATGAAAGCAGAGTGCCTTATCTTTTTCTCATGGAACACCTGGTGGGTTTGAACAGCCAACCTTTTGGTTAGCAGTTGAATGTCTTACCATGGTGTCCACAGAGCTCCCTTGTTGTTGTTGTTATTTGCCGTCGAGTCGGCCCCGACTCATAGCGACCCCTCCTTGGGTTTCCGAGGCAGTATCACTACGGAAGTAGGATTGCCCAACCTTCCTTCCGAGGAGTGGCTGGTGGGTTTGAACCGCCAGCCTTCTGGTTAGCAGTCAAGTGCCTTAGCCACTATGCTACCAGAGCTCCCTACAGAGCTCCCTTAGTAATACTTAAATGCATGCTAAATGAGCATGCATACTGATGAACTGACTCATATTGGTTTAAATTTTAGCATTATAGCTGCCAGGCCATTTCAGTAATTTCATAAAGAGGCTCATTCATTCCACAAATCACCAAACAATTGTCATTGCAGTGAGAACTGTGGTACATTTCATTGACTACATTGAAAACTGTAGTGTTCAGTCAGTTGCATGCTTTTGATTCAGTGTTGAATCAGGAGTGGTGTACAATGCAACATTAACATCTGTTAATGCCTGAACCAACAGATAAGCACTTGATGGTAGGAAGCAAAGTCCCTAAAGCTTACATGTAAATTAAAGCAAATACCAAAATTGTTTTATCTGAGAGCTAGCAGATGGTAGAAAAAGAAAGGTTAATAAAAATTAAAAAATGGAACATGCTTTTCTTCCTTTCCAGCCCACTAATGGTCATTAGTGACATGGCGTGTGTCTACTATGGAATCTAGTAACCTTGGACTAGTGACTAGTGGCATTTAGACACAGTTATTGGGAAAGAAATACTATTTTCATTTTTACAACCTTCTGCTAAGTATCCCACTAGCAGCCTCTGACTCAGTTTCCATCGTTGTGCTCTGTTTGCAGATGCTTCACCTGAGCCCCATCTCAGGACACGGAAACACTTCTCATACTCAGGTAAAGACCAGGCTCTTTTCAGAAAAACAAATGTGAAACACTGAGAAAAAAAAGGACTCTCATGAGTATATTGAAATATGTCCTGTATTCTTTTGAAGCAAAGAAACGTGCCCCATTAGTTTATCTCTGTGCATGTGGAGGAGGAGCAGACAAATGAACGCACTGTCCTCTTTGCACATAAAGGATGGAGATGGGTTTTACTGATATCAGAGTCTTCTGAAAAGATAATTTTAGTAACTTTCACCTTGTAAGTGTCTTTGGGAAGTGGAGACAGTGAAGGTTAGAATTCAGACACAGTCCTCCTAAATTCACTTTTCACTTTAGTCAACATCCCTCCTGACCATATTTATCTGCAGAGATAAATATGCTCAAAATTAATTGATGATCCTATTTTTCCTCCTTTTTTTGAAAACAAACAAACAAACAAACTTGCCTGCTCAATCCGTTAAGCTGTTAGGGACAGGGAAGAGAAGCTCAGAGCCTGGAGAACCTCAAACTGAGTCAGCAGACTCTAAGAGAGAAAGCTCCTTAAATACTCAATATCTTAAACATTTCCTAACCTCTCAAATTAGCGGGTATGGTTGTGGGATTCTCTTTAAAAAACTAAGGCTTCAAAACTGAGCATAAAATGGTTCAGACACTTAGAAAGTTCCAGTCTCAAAAAAGAATTTGCTTAACATGGAGATTTTGAAATTTAGCATAGCAGCACGTAGACGCACACGGAAGATCAGAATTTTGCCTAAAGCAGTGGTTAAAACCTAATGGCTGTAATTCCTACCCCTTTCGAGTTAAAAAATAAGAGCTTAAAAATTGTATATAGATGCAGTATTGGTTGCTGCTTTTATGGCATCATTATGTTTTCATACTTTCAAAGTATGAAAAGAAAAAAATAAAACAAAACAAAAACTCACTGCCATTGAGTCGATTCTGACTCACAGTGACCTCAATTGGGTTTCCAAGGTGGTAAATCTTTACAGAAGTAGATTGCCTCATCTTCCTCTTGCAGAGCAGCTGGTGGGTTTCGACCACTGACCTTCTTGTTAACAGCCAAATGCCTTATCCCTACGCCACCAGAACTCCTTTCCTCATGGTATAATTTTCATGGTTATCTCAAGTGTGGATGAGATTATACATCATTTTGCAATTCACTATTAATTTATCTCGTAAATCTTTTTAATACCAGTCAGCACTCCAAAGTCAACTGAAAAGAGTTCTCTCCAGTCTAAACACATCCCACAAGGGTTATCAGCTCAGCATTGCCAATGGGGTTTTTGCAGAAAAGGTGTTTGACCTTCATAAGGTAAGTGATGGCTCCTATGTTACAAGGTTGTTTCCACTCTGGACCTGAATATTGTTCAATGTGCCATCTGAATAAAGGCTTGTGTCTTTCTTCTGAACCATAATGAGGCGATTCCCCGCCCCCCCCTCATCTCTGTAAACCATGCTTTAGGGTGTTTTAAAATATCTTTCTGCTTCTAATCTACATTTTTCTCCCCCTTAGTTAATCCACACTTTCAGGGTTGGCAGACTCCAAAATGGGCTCCAAAACAGACAGTGAACTTTCTAAACCAAAAAAAACCCAAACTCACTGCTGTCAAGTCGATTCCGACTCATAGTGACTTCTCCTTGGGTTTCTGAGGTGGTATCTCTATGCAAGGAGATTGCCCAGTCTTCCTTCTGCAAAGGGGCTGGTGGTTCAAGCTCACCAGCCTTCTGGTTAGCAGTCAAATGCCTGACGCACTACGCCACCAGAGCTGAAGTTTTCTACTGGCATTTTTTGAGCTGTAATTGGGGTTGGGAAGGGAAGACAGCCTATTTAGGGGCTATCATGAC